ATAGGTGAATCCCCTCAAATGCCCTGGTACGGTCGAGAGTGGGGAGAGTCCGCTCTCCCTCTCCAAATGATCTCACATGGCCACGCGTATATAGCCTCTGTCAGGGAAGTCCTACTCACTGCCTTCTCGTGGCGGGGGTGTTGTTTACAAAAATGAGAGGACGAAAAGCGTATTTCCGGCGCTTTAACCGGGTCCCAAATCAATGGTGCACATGGGCCCCAGTATCCTGAAGGAACAAATGGCGTATGAACCAATCGTTGGTTACCGGCTACCATGGGACTGCATCTCTTCACGATGCTCCACTGCCTCGTGGATCAGACGTTCAGGTTGAAGGCTCGGGGTGTGGCCCCCTAAGAAAACCACCTGCTTCGGTTTGGGCACCCGTGCAGTATCACAGCCCTCACACACATCAAATGAGATTTGTGTAGCGCGTATGTATTTGGTGCCTCCTTGTACCTATACCTATGTGTTAAAATAAAATAAAATAAATAGGTGAATATGATCTTACATATAGTTGTAAGTACTGTTCTGTTGTTAAATACTGAAGTAAAACAGCTATATAATGTTTATTGTGATACCAATTCTTTAATATACTATGGATATATCACTTTTAGAATATATCAAGCTACCTGTTGCAAGTCAAAACCTTCATTAAATCTAATCTTTTTATATGATACCTTTAAATAATAGAAAATAAATGGTCATTACTTTTGTATTAAAAGTCAAGTATGAACTTCATCATTCACTATAACAATATCAATTATAGTAAGCTAATATAATATATTATTTGCATGTTGTAAACTAGAAATACCTTCTACATAATACATTATTGAATGATGAGTATACAAAATAAACATTGTTCATTCTAACAAAACTTAATATATAGTATATAAATTTCATAATAAACATACATAAAAGACAAATTATATTCTGATGATTAGTAGTTTATTTAATAGTAATAATTAATAAATATTATACATATTTTTTTCTTCTCTCTTAATTTATCCAGTCAATCATCTCTTTAGGTTACTAGGTAACATTTTATGATTACATAGGTGAACAATAATTGTCCTTAGTTTTTATAATAATGAAAGTTCATGATATTGATTTATTATAATAAAAATTTACGCCATCATATCTTAAAAACTATATTAATATCAATTAAATTATTAAAATATATTTTATGAAAAAATCATGTTTTCCAAGAAAGATTAGTATATCTTCTAGTAAAAGATTACATATCAGGTCAAATAAATTATACAACTGATTTTGTTAAAGTTATCTGTTTATATTGCTTATGGCAATGACTACAGTTGTGTTTTTTTATTTTATGATTTATCACGTTATATAGAAAACAAAAATGTTTTATTAATGATTTGTTTAACATACATCTTTACTCTACTTGTTCATACAAATTAAATTGTAAAGTTGTATTTGTATTAATCGAATTTTAAAAATATATAAGAAAGGAGGTTTTTTTGTGGAAATTGAAGAGTTATATACTAGGACTAAACAGCCGTTCAGTGCTTCCAAGTTTTTCATGGTGGTCTAGCTTCAAATGACTCATGATTTCAACTTGTGAAATTTCTAAAATATCTACAAAATCCTTTCTGATAATAATTTAATACTTGAGTTCATAAGTCAATTAAAATTAAACAATCATGGAAAACGGTCATTTAGTGCTTTTAGATTTTCCATGGTGGTTTAAATTTTTAATTGATTCATGTAATCAACATTTCAGTTAATTATTGAGAAACATTTGAGATTTTGTAAAGTTATTAATAATGAATTGATAATCAGTACTCATTTTCAAGATTCTAAATGTAATTACATTTCTAATTGTTTCAACTTTACATTAGTTGATAATGATCACATATTATTCAGATAGGATAGTTATAAATACAAAGATAATCTTCTTATATATAATATAGTTTTCCAGTTTTATACATTCTATTCATACAACATTCAACTACATGAATATAATGTTTTCTATGTGATATGTTAAATAAACTAATTTCAAAAACTTAAAACGTTTTAGGCAAACATTCAAAATATATATTGATAATAGAAATATAGTGAACCGAAAAAAAATCGGCAATATATCTCTTGTCAAATACACAAGAACTATCAAACAATTCAGACGGCTAGCTACTAAAATAACATTCTATAGTTTAAATAATTGTTGAAAAGAAAATAATTGATTCGTTTCGAATAGACACATAAATAAAAGATAATTTAGAATAGATGAAAATTAACTAACTATGAAATCCAGAATGAGTATTTCTTACTGCTTTGAATTTTTCATATGGATGTTCTCCTTCAATCTGTGATTTTAAAAATTTATCATTGGATTCAAGAATCATCGCATTGTGTACTCACCTATTGCGTCCAGATAGACTCATACTCATGCTAAGAGTATGTGACTCAAATTTGAAATTGTCTGCATAATCAAGTTATTGATGTCTATGAACGAAATTTGATCAGTCTTAGTTGGTATATGTGCATCCTGTATGGATTGACTTGAAATTGTATATATGATTCAAGTCAGTATACAACAAAAGGAATATGGATACCAGAGGAAACACGGAGGCGCGTTTCATCATATTTGGGACTTGTCAACATGGATGCACTTGCATCTTATCCATCTGTTCTATATTTTCTTATTTCTCATTAGTTACATAGTGATGATCCACACAGAATGCACACATACCAAATAAGCCTGAACAAATTTCAGCAGAAATATCAACAATGGGATCATTTCAAACTGTATTTTAGTCAGATTGTGTATATAGGCAGTATCTTTATTAAATATGGTCAATTTTTTGGCTAATATTTTGGTAGATCGAACCTGTCACACCTTGTGTAACTTTAAAAAATTGATTTTATACAGAAGAACTCGTTTTCTGTTATTTTTGTCATTTTTCCTCACCACCATTCTTAATTTCCCTCTATTTTGCTTTAATCTTTAAAAGATAAAACATTTTTAATATATTCCATCTAGTAATATATATGTAATTATAGGTTTTTTGTAAGTTATGTAGTAACTTTTAACGGTCAAAATGAAGACATTTAAATAGATGTTTAATGATTGTAGAATGGATTAAAATAGAATATATGTATTCTCGAATTTTGATCTGTATAGTGAAGAACCAATCATTCTATCTCTGTCAATAAAATTTTGATATGGAGTAGTAGCAATAAAAAAATACTTTTCAAAAAATCGTATTTATTCAGCAGTTAAAACTCAATAGTCAATCGACTTAATCACTCACACCTATACATCTCTTCACACAAAGAGAATTATTACGTAATAAAATTCAACGAGAGTTTCTTAACATTTCATATTCATTTCAAAAGCGTATTATTCTTTTGTAAAATATTTGGAAATTCACGAATGAACCTTTAATGAACATGTAAAAATTAAGTGAGAACATCATTTTCAGATCTTAAATGATGTACTCTATTTCAACTTTCGCAATAAATGATTTTCAGGGTAAAAACACTTTGAGTATCATTGGATTTTTTAAACAGAATCATCAAGGCTTTTAATATGAAACGAAATTTATCCCTGATAAAGTAAAAATACGTCTCACTTAATCATTTCTGTTGTCAACAGCCAGAATTAGGCATTATATCTAAAATGGCTTTATCGAGATTACTGATAGGAAGTTCAGGATGAGCCGTGGTTCCAGAGTGGAATCATGGCATTTTCAATACATGTATATTTTAATAAATAAACTAACAGCGACAATTCACATTTGCGTTTTGACATAAATGTACCATTTATCCACTTAAAAGCACACAGGTTTAGTTAAATCTTTGGATGACGTTATGATAAACGTAAATCAATAAACAAAAGTATATAAATTCCACACACCTTAGATGAATGTAACATTTGCAAAATATCGGTTGAATAACGATTGATTTTAAAATTCAGACCAGGATGATTCTACTGAATGTTTGATTAGTATCATGAGATCTTTAATATTTAAAGATCCTCAACGTGATCCATTGTAGTACTGTGTAAGCACACCAAAAACAATTCTAACTAGAATGAAAAACTCCTTTGATATTTTGGATTTCTGGCAGTACTATAGTTGACGTTACTTTTTGTTAAAAATTAGTAATCTGTAATAATAATACATAATAACAATAAACGCTTAATTTAAAATGCAGGTAAATATATTTATTACAAACTACCTGTAGCTCTTCTAGAGGTACTGCCGGTTTCAAGCCCGGGTAAAGGAGGAGGATTGGGCATGGGATCGGCAACTCAATCCCATAGAAAAAAATCATGCTAAAAAACGCTAACCAGATTAGATTATTTTTATTACAATCAGTTCATCCAATAAACAATACGTAAATAATTTAAAAGTTCGAAGGTCATCTTATATGTAAAGCCGACCGTTTTTAATAATCAATTAACCTAATAATGCAATTTTAAAATGTTATCATAAATTTTTTCACATACTCTGTCAATAAACCACGAAAAAAGGCTTCTACAATCATGATTTTCAATTTGTCGTCTTATCCATTTGCCTGAGCATTTTATTTTAGCTGTTCTTAGTATTTAGAGAACAGTTTTTGTGGATATTATAGTAATTTAACAGTTGAATTCATGAGTCAACCGGATCTGTTGTGAGATAATAACTCACTGATGACAATGATGGAAGGTGGCGCAACTTTGTGGGTTGGTTGAAATTCGACATTAACACCGTTGGATGACGGCCGGCTTAGTGGTCTATTGGTTAAGCGCTCGCCCGCTAGACTGATAGGTCCTAGGTTCGAATCTCATGAGGCGAGATGGTGGATGAGCACTGCTAAGAAGTCCCATGCTAAGATGAAACGGTCGTCCAGTGCTTCCAAGTTTTCCATGGTGGTCTAGCTTCAAATGACTCATGAATTCAACTATTGAAATTACCTTAACTGTTTTACTGTGTATTGCACTTTACACAGACAAAATTAATTTATTTACAATATTTCGCTTTCTTTTTTTATAGACAATTATCTGGGAGAAAGGACAAAATCCTTTATTTGTATCTACAGTTAGTTTCATGCAAGACTCTAGATTTCGTTTAAATATTAGTGATGATAATTATTTTAACAATGAAACTTATCGTTTTAACATGAAAACAAAATATCTCAAAGATTACAATGAAAAATCTATATTAAAAGGAAATAAGTTATCTTATCAAAATTATTTAGATAAATATAACTTTAAAAATAATTGGAAACGTCGTCGATGGGATTTGATTATTGACTTTGTAACACCGACAGATTCAGATATTTATACATGTATGCTTATGGGAAGAACATCACAAATGATTAGTTACCATGTAATTGTAAACGGTAAGTTACGTTATATTTTGTTTTACTGTTAAAATCAATAAATTTGAATGAATGTACATCAATGGATATTTTCATTATCAGTATAGGGTTGTGGAGATTATTAAGTTTTTGATTGAGATCATGAACCGACTGATGTTAGACCACCGTTGGAAACCTGGAAGTACTGGACGGCCGTTATGTTCTAGTTTGGGACTATTTAACAGTTTTCAGTTAGACAGAAGCGCCGTTGGATGCCAGTTCAGTGGTCCAGAGGTTAAGCGCTTGAGCGTGAGACCGAATGCACTGGGCTCGAATCTCGACTGTGGGATCATGAATGCGCATTGCTGAGGAGTCTCATGCTAAGACAAAACGGCCGCCCAGTACTTCCAGGTTTTCACTGACGACCTAACATTCATCCATCAATCTCAACAATCTCATACTGATAATACATTTATTGTTAAAAAAAATCCAGGAACTATGAACAGACTTTTAAAAGTACCGGTTCAGTATATATGGAAATTATGACTGAGATGAATATGATTTTGTTTGTGATCTGCACTTGTAACTAGTAATTCAATGTCACAATAATAGTCCTGTTTGTGATAGACATATTTTAGTACAAAATATTTACTCTGAAGTATAAAATGAATAAATGTGTTAGGGATAGACATTTTAAAGTGATTGATATATTTCTACTCGTTGTAGTTCTAAGAAAATACAACATGGCTAATTGAATGAAGATGTATTTGTATGAGAAACTTGAGCAAAAATATTAACTTTACACGTTAACATTTAGTAAAAATATGATTATTAGATTTTGATCAAAGGCAGGTACAAATCAGCTTAATAATTATCGAACCAGTGTTTTGTATTTTTCTCAGTCTGTACAATTCATCTGACAAATAAAAATGACATAAATGTTTGTATTAAACGTCAAAAGCGTTGGCATCTCAATTTAGTATTTTACATCGGAGATTGTATAAACTTGTTTCTGTTGTACATAGATAGTAATTATAATTAAATGCTCAAATATGTGTTAAGTATGCATTTAAACTGTTTTACTATTATAACATGACATATTTATCATTTAGTTCAAATTTTAAGGAATGACAACAATGTTGATAGTTGAGATCATGAGTCAATTGAACCTAGACCATCACGGAAAACCTGGAAGCAGTGGACGGCCGTTTTGTCCTACTGTGGGACTCCTCAGCAGTGCGTATCCAGGTTCCCACCTCGTGACATTTGCACCCAGGACCTATTAGTGCTTCTAGGTTTTTCATGGTGGTCTAGCTTCAATTGACTCATAATCTCAACTATTAAAATTTTAACAAACTTAATGTTAACTTTTTGAAATAGAACACGTTTGCATCGTTACAGTTTACTGAACATTTTAATTTGAAGATATTTATGATTCCCTAAAATGTAATTAACAAATCTATGACTATTGAGGCATATTACTTACCTATTGATCCAAGGATATTTCAGTCTTTTATTATCGTCATAAGTATTTTTTTCTTTGGCTTGCCGGGAGCAATACTAAGAGCTAGTCATTTGAAACGACTGTAAATTTGTTAGCATACGCAATGATAAGTAATAAATGTCTGAGCTATGAACAGTTTTAGCTAGTAAATATCTATAGCTGAGAAGGATTATTTCCATAGAGTTGCGTTCTCATCAATATTAATATTGACAAAACAATCCTTTGACCGTCTGCAGAGCAATTCTAATAGCTCACTACTAACTGAAATTTGTGTTAAAAATGTCCTCTAGAAAAATTATGAAGACTACAGTATTTAATCATCCAAATAGAGAATTTAACTGCACTAACAGCTTTCTCAGATGTTTTAATAATTCAGAACATGCTTCCGTAAAATGGTTTTGGATTTCAGTATTTATATTGACAGACACTTATTAAAAATCTTAACCAGGATATAATTCACTTTGAGTATTCCAGGGCCATCCACAACTGTATGGTGTCAATCTCAGAGTTATGTATGATTTCAGCATTAAATACCAACAAGTAAAAACTACAATAATGTTAAAAGTCATGTTTTGCCTATATTATTGAACTCCACTTTATTTCGCTGAGCCACAAGTGTTCACTTCAACATGCATCTATTGTTTAAAGTGTTTGTATTTAATAGAATTGGATACTATGACTAAGGATGTATCATTTAAATATTTCATATCCTACAAACAATTTCTCACCTCAAACGTGTTTCTATAGACGGTCTGGTAACTCACAGTACTGGGATCAATAAATTGATAAGTAATACTCCCATAATAATTCCAACCGATTTGTGAATATTTTAGTTGTCAGTTGAGTTTTCGATAGACTGAAAATCAATTTAAAATCACATAAACAGCATTTTCGGTAACAGAAATAGCAATTTTAACTTATGAATACCTTCATTCTGTGCTAAATAGATATGAACAGTTAAGAAGCTCTAACTTCTCTTCTCTTGAGTTAATAAGAATACACAGACTAAAATAAATTACAGAAAAAAGCTTATAAAAATAAAAGATTATTCTGTACAATAGCGTATGTAGGAGTAGTTAAATCCCTTTCGAATAGTTCACCCATTTGCCTGGATCTCGTTAATTTTATTTAAAAACGATTTTTCTGTTATTATTCTCGGAACCATTAACAATGGGTTTGCATTTATAAATCACTAATTTTTAAATGATATTTCACGACAAAACTAAAAAGTAAGATAATGTGGACCTTAATACATGACAACCAGTAAATAGATTCACTCCATTAGGTTCCATCAAAATTTACACTAGAATAAGTAGCATAAACCTAAATATTTTACAAAAAAATAGGTAGAATGTGTCTGGAAGTGGAATCCAGGATGCATCTCAGAGTTCACCTTCAATCCGTCACACTATCGCATTATTCACTCACCTACTGAGTGCAGGTAGACTCATACTCATGCTACAAGTATATGATTCAATTAAATTTGAAATTTTCTACATTATCCAGTTGTTGATATTTGTGATCAAAATTTGATCAGTCTTAGTTGATATATGTACATCCTGTATCGATTGGCTTGAAATAGTAAATATTATTCAAGTTGATATAGAACAAATGAAATATAGATATTAGTGGAATCTCGGAAGAGCATTTCGTCTCAGTAATATTGATCAACTTGCGGTCAAAAACATCAACAATCGGATAATTTAAACAATTTTAAGTCGAATTTAAAATTTTATTAAATAATTTATCAGTTTTTTAAGTTAAATTTATTTTTATCGATAATCAGTCCCAAATGCTTAATTAAACTCTATATCTCTACATTCACTTGTAGTAATGATATGTGTATGTCTAATTTTCTAATGAAGATAATTTTATTTAGCTTAAATTAATCAGTAACATTTTGGATAAACAAATCTACTATACTAAATAGATATGAAATTCAATCCACATGAACAAAATTAATTTAGATAATTTAACTCAAATTACAATTTTTTGTTACTGATTGGTTAAAGTCAAACTTTACACATTATCACGGTTATTTTGTAAAATCAAAAAAAAAAATTGTTGCTAAGAGAATCTAAAATAATCAAATATAAAATTGATTTGAATTATCAATGTTATACTAAATATTTGATATTCTTCATTAAATTTTATATTTCCATAATTTTTTATCAACAGAATCAGCCTCTAGAATCAACTACAGTCGAAAAAGATTAAGTAAGTGAATTTATCTTATTCTTAAATGTTTTAATAAATTATCATATTGGTTATGTATTATTTTTAATTATAAATACACTGTTTAATCATCGAGAAAAGATAATTGACTTAGTTGAAACTAGTAATGAGCGTAGGACTTAAAAAGACCGTCAACTTGAATAATAATTACTAAGCTCTCAATGCCAATTCTGTACCAACCCACCTTAAAGCCCTATGAGAATTAGCTTGTAAACATTTCATTAACATGGATTTATTATTATACAACATAAAGTAATCATAACACCATGGTATATTTGACTGCTTTAAAAACAGAATCTATAATTTCTTATCGTAAATCAAGTTGTCTAAGATTTCAAAGGAGATTGACTTGGTCAATTAAATGTAGACAAATATGTATATCTAGTGATTTAAATCAATGATATATGTGATGTATGGTGACTAATATGAATCACTAATGATGATACATAGTCTTTTTACTATTTTAAATTGTTTTGACATTTAAAACTCATTTACTAAATGCTTCAGTGATTCCCTATTTTTTTACGATATTATTTTATAAATGCTTGAATAGTTAAGAAACAGATGACATGTGATTCACGTGATCAGATATTTATGGTTATACAGTTATCAGAAGTAAAGACCCAATTAGAAATTATTAGCCGAACAGAATAAGTTCTTGTAAATCTTGAACAAAATACATCTATCCAGTGTATATTTCTACAAATTTTAAAGGACTATTAGACAATAAAACGTACGAATTTAATTAATAGTAAATAAATAAGCAAGACGATGCCAGCTGTCAGTTTAATAGTTCAGTCTTAAACAATTATTATTAAATTTTTAAAAATAGCCAATCATCCTTGACACAAGCAGTTAGATACGGAATCTTAGTTCAGTAGTGTTAATTATATATAAACATTGAAAATGTGTTACATAATTTAGTTTATACCACATAAATCATTTGGTGCTTTTATTTACTACAATACCATTGAAAATGAACCATACTTATTTATTTATTCATTTCCAAATCTATTCAAACCTTGTATACATTTCGTTTTTTTCATGTGATTTACATTTTAGTAGATAACTACATTAGATATATGATTGATATTGAGGATAAAAAGAATATAACGTTAACGATAAAAACATTTTCATTCTATATTTTTTAAGCAATAATGAAATCATAAGCTATATGGTTATTTACCTTTACATGCTTAACTGCTTTTCGAAAAACAATTTCTGATTGTCATATGAGATCACAAAAGAGTTGAAATCAAATTACAATTGTAAATTATGGTAATTTTTAATGTTAAATTAGAATGTGTTTGTTTCACAGTATATAGATGAAGTTAAATAAGATTTCACAACAATAGTATAATATTCACATTCAACAAAAAATGATAATGAAGTGATAATAGAAAATTTAGGCACATACATTATAACTGGGTGAGACTATAATTTGTAGAAGAAATTTGAGCGACGCTAAACTGACCTTGAGAGTGTCCACTTAATAACCAGAACCAGACAAGGGTTATGAAACTGTGTGGGGAATCAGAATTATGATTTACATTTGATGGATGAGTGAATGTAGCGCCAAAATCCGAGACCTTTTATCTTACACTTGATTGATTCGTCCATAAATTATAGTCTCGCCTTATAACTGTTTAAAACGAATTTGTTGCACTATTGATTAAGATGAAACTTTCATTCAAGTTCTCAAGTTAATCATTTATTAATGGCTTTTTTAAAGCTGTTAGATAATGTATTAGTTGGTTCTTCTGGGTCAAAACATTCAAATTAATTTATGTCTTAATTAAAATCACCAGTATTGCATTTGAAAGTGCAGCACTGACACAAAACGTAAATTGTTGGAACCACGATAAAATCTTTAAACGTATGAGGATGATATTTAAATATTACGTCACCATCAATAACTCAAGGTATACATCCTAAAAAATATGCATAACATGAGTAGAAATAAAAAAGTCTTTTATATCCGTCTATGCGTAATTTCAGACAATATATTTTTCAGAAATATCCAGAATGTAAGTAATTTAATAAAAAGTGTATGGCCGTAAATTGGATGGAAATGTAAATTATATTATTAAATCACAGAACTGTGTTATTGTTTGCAAGAGGAATTAACCATAGAACCTTTCATTCTGAACGCTAAACGACGTTATTCATGGAGCTACCGACTACTACAACTTGTTCAAGTGTTATGAACGTATTGGTTAAGGTCTATGATTTATCGTTATTTATATACGGGACTTCAGTTGATCGTGACTCACTAATAGTTTACTACAGTTTAACAGTATATATAATGCATTATGACAGCACTTAGAGGAGATATTTTTCCAAGTTCTTAAATATATATATATATATATATATATATATATATAACTGTAATATGTTAGCCGGCTTTTATTTATCATTTGAACTTTAGACTGTTCCTTTGAAGTATATTGTTAATTAATCTATACAAGTAACCAAACCTGACAAGTCAATTATAAAAAATGACCATTTTTTAATAATATACACTAACAACAGTAATGTATCTTAATAATTAAATAAACATTTTTGTATGGTATCCGTTTCCAAAACCGAGAGTTATAACCTCCTGCATTTAGCTACCAATTATACGTCTGATAATTTTTAACCACTAGGTAGTACATTACAAATCACCGAATTCAAGTGTAAAATAATAACTTTTCTCTCTTGATAGTAAAAATATTCCAGTACACTATTTTATAAATCTCACTATGAATTTAGAATACATATGAATTTAAAATACAAATGTTTTTATAGGTGGAGAAGATTTGTAGCTTAGATGGATGATTTTGATAGAGTTTTGTTCTCTGAGCTGAATGGTTTGATCGTGGAGCTTTCGTTATTCATGTCAACGAAATCATCAGCACAAACTTCAGATAGAAATGAAATCTTCGAATTTCTCAACATAAGGCTGACAGCTTGTTCTTTAGACCTCTATGTTGATTGGTTATTGCTGATCTTTCAATTGTATCTTTAGTTGATTTGGTTTTTGGTCCTATATTTGTCCATAAGTTTTCTGATTGATTAATAAATTGAATCGATTTCAATGTGTTTGTTGATTGCTGATTGACGTGAGTTTTAAGTTTCTAAAAATAATCTAGTGTCAACAACAACCAATCAACATCAAGGTCTACAGTACACATTGTGAGCCATATGTAGAGAAATTCAAACACTTGACTTCTATCTAACGTTTGTCCTGATGATATCGTTCACAGGAATCATGAAAGCTCCACGACCAAACCTTTCAGCTCAGAGAACAAAACTATATCAAATAGGTAAATACGTTTTTCGCTAACTAATAATAATGAATATATAGGATAAAATTATTTAAACAAATATAAATTATTTATTGAAAATGTATATTATATGATTATCGAATGTATAGCATAATATCTAACTATGATCTATGTATGTATGAATATGGAACTAAACATTAATTTATCAAAATATAATAAATCCATATAACTATTTATAAAAATTAATTTTTCTCTTATAAAACTCGTTTACTTTGGTAGTAATAAAGACAATAAATAACTTTGCTATAGAAAAAAAAAGAAAGAACAAATCAAAGAACAAAGATCAATATGAAACGTAAAAGAGACCATGTATTTTCAATGTGATAATTATTGATTTAATGATTATTAATAGCTTATGTAAGCAGTCAAAACAAATACACTTTTTGTTTTACATTAGTTTCATTCAAAATTACAGTTTTGTTAAATGTATATTTCAGCTTAACATAAGGTATATACATATATATATATATATATATATATATATATATATATATATACGCATAAAGAGTAAGAGGCATGTTTTATGTAATTAATGTATTCCATATTTCATTTTTAAAAGATAAAACTGAATTTTATTCCATTAAATTGTATTAAAAGTAGAAATAATTCATAAAGATAAGTTTATTTGATTTAGGATTTCTTTTTCAATAAACATAGGAAACCTTATATAATTACATGCTAATATAATATATTCTACGTCGTTATGATTTTGTTTTCTTGTTTTTTTTTTCTATTTTTTTCTCTATGAGATTTGTTCATGCTGATATATATATGTGTATATACAATGAATGATTCGGATGTGTTCAAGAATAATATACCTAATTGCTTTTGTATACTGAAAAATATCAATTATTCAATACAAATTATTTACAAAAAATAATGTAACCTCTCCATTAAAGTATTGATCATTTTGTTTAAAATGTAGTTTAAATGGAATAAAGTTATTTCAAGAGAATACTTAGAGAATAAGTGATACTTTGTTCTTAAAAGGTTAAATTCCTTGATTCTTCTCAACAATAGTCATGTGCTCATTAGTGACAAGTACACAAGTGGGGACAATCAAATGCATTTGAATACGAAATTACAGAATATTTCATAAAATATCCCATAAAGTGTATAGTTAATTTGCAAAATATTATTCAGTTGCCCCAAACTTGACTGTTTTTATTGCAAATCTCAGATTTCATTGTTTGTGCATTTTCACACCGATTGCTTTCCGTTCCCTCTGTTTCCCCCTCTATCTTCTATTGAAATACATTCTATTTTTAACTACTACTTATAGTACTTATGTGAATATAAGCAGCTAACACCACACTCATCCCCCCTTTAAAGCAGTCGTTCTTGTGGTGGTTCTGCTCGCCATACCATTCTTCTCTTTTCTGCAGTCTGTGCTACTCTATCCGTCAAGATGTCGAGCGTGCGGTGCGCTGACATTAATAGCTCCGTCGACGTCCAATATCCACCCGGCACCTGAAACCTTCAACGCCTGCGCTTTTGCGACCTGCTGAGCCATCTACATTCGATGTCCACTCAGCAGCTGCACGTCCCATTGCTCCTCTCTGTCGACATCACTGGCTACAGCCAACGCCACTCTGCCAGAACACTCAAGTCGGCGTCACCTTTCGGCAGCAGATTGCCCCAACTAGCACCTCA